TTCTTAGAAGGGTAAGGTATACATGTACATGTACATGTACATATGCCAATTAATGCATACGGATTTGATTGTTTAATGTTTTATGTTCATTTAGCATTTAGAAAGCAAGCACAAATCAAGTATTGAACATGATGATGTTGTTGACTCATTTAAGTTTATTCAACCAAATGGAACTCTTGAATTGACACTACACACTACACAGCAGGCAGGATGGACTGTTAATCCTACCAGGAATCCAATGAAAGTAAGTACCGGCTAGGAGTCAGTTTTACCTAAAGTATTTCCTTTCTTGTACACGTACATGTGTAGTTATTTCAGTCAAGAGTAGACGAGTTTCCATTAACTCCTTCATATGCCACTTGCAGTATGTCAGTGTATGCAAAACCTGGTATTGCTCAGGATCCACTTCATTGTCCTATTAAATTAACTGGAATAGACCCTTCAATAATAATTTACATCGACAGATCACCTCCTCTTCTATCAATAAGTCAGTCAATAATTTTATGTATTTTTTAAAATTTATTAATTTAATTTAGACTTTAGCTCTACCACTGCTGCTGCTGCTACTAACAGGCAGTCTGACAGAGAACATCAAAATGGTATTTTACAGACTGATGCAATATTATTGATCTCAAGCTCATCCATAAACATTAAAGATATATGTACATGTAGCACAGTGCTAGAAAAATGAAAGTATCTTTATTTAATGTACTTAGATTTAACATAGGTTAAGGGCTAAATCTTATGCTAGTGATTCATTATCATTCCTTGGCCCTCCCTTTCTATAGGTGGTATAGGCCCATTTCTACAGCTAAATATTTTAGTAATAGGCATCTAAAATACAATGCACACATACATGTACATGTACTAACTATTGTAGATAGATGGCTCAGAAGTATTAATACCATATAGCCAAAAATTTCCGGGGCTTAAAATTTCGTGAATAATGAAACTTATGGGAAAATTTTTAATTCCATAAAAAATATTTTTATGATTTTATTTTAATAGCAACTGAACACGCCCATTTTAATTAAAACATGGTAGACGCAGCGTTTGAGAGGGACTTTTATTCTGTCTCAGTGTCAGGGGGCACCATGTCTACAAAACTGTGTGGGCACCAGTTGGGGAGATCATCTTTGATCTTGCTACTATGCTTAAAGTAGCGATACAGAGACATCAACTTGACTGAGAACACGACTTGTTTAGACATGAAAGCATGCGGCACACACCCACCATAGCAACGTAAAGGATGGTTGACCATGCCCTTTGGTTAATATTTATTTTGGGGGTTTAATTTTTTGTGATGCGAACAGTAATCACGAAAGTACGGAAATTTATTCCTCACAAAAATTTTTGGCTATACAGTACATAGCAAAATAATTTCTCTGTACATGTACTTATGTATTTTGTGAAAATTGAAAAATTACCTAATGAAGCTCATTTGCCAAAATTAACTGCACCAAATTTTATAGCCATTTTAGAAGTTCTCGAATTGTAAACTCTACAATTACACCCCATGCATAAGTTAATTTTACCAATTTTTTTCATCCAAAATAGCTATTATTACATTTGATACAAAACTATAAATTATACAGCTATATTTATCATTAATTTGTTTGTATAGCATCACGCTATAGCCTAACAACTAAAGATTTACATGAAGTATTAAATGATTTGAGGAGAGGGGGTTTTTCTGATGGAAGCTATTTTGAACTTGGTCTGGAATTAGGCCTGCATCATCGGACACTGAATAATATCAAATCGGACAACATGGCATCTGTAGACCATCTTAGGGAGTGTATTTCAAAATGGCTGATGAGATTAGATGATGTTGATAAACGTGGAGGAGCAAACTGGACGACGTTATGCAATGCAGTAGAAAAGATGAACCGAGCAGCAGCTGATTCTATTAGTTAGTTATTATTGTATAACCTAAAAATCTAGTGTGCCTATGATTTGTAACATAATAATTATTTTTATAGGAGCTAAACACAATATATTGGCCTCACAACCAATTGAACAGAGTATGTGTCTTACTATTTTATTAATGTATTTTTTGAGAATTATTTTTATAGGCTGCCCTCAAAATGATGTTGAACCAGACACACAAAATACAGGTACACTGTGTCTTTAATTAGCAATATTTAATGTGTATCACTGAATTTAATTTTGTTCTCTGCCAATTAAAATTTAATGACATATTAGGTTTTAGTTATACACTGCATGTGCACGTACACAAAGGAGTCTATGTGGTTTGAAACCATTCTCTCATATAATGTACATGTTGTCATCTAATGTAGACTTTTAATATAATTGTGTTACGATTGAACAAAAAAACAACATGAAAGTTTTGTCACATAATTATAATTAATCATTTTGTACGTTATGTAGGTTCTGATGAAGGGGCACGAAGAAGATACCCACAGAGACCTCGTAAGTTCTATTATTAAAACAAATAAATTACAATAAACTTAATTGTAGCTTATACTACCTTTACTCCAAGTGAAACAGAAGGAAATAATAGTTCTTCATCTCCTAATCCTTCATATGGTATATGTGTATAATAAAAAAATTATTTATATTATTTTGTTAGTTAAGTGGTCCCAGTATGGAAAAATCTTTGTTGGACTTCTAGCCCTTGGATTAACTGCAATTATATTATTTTGGCTCCTTTAACACTAGTGATATTGATTGTCAGAACTTTTTTATTTTTGTATTGTGTGTTCAACTAGTCAAGCTAACTGACAATTACATGTATTATCATATTGCTTTTTTTGTTTTGGCAAGTAATGAAAGTACTGTCTACATGTACATACAGTAGCTCCAATCAACTGTTGAGTATTATAAATAAATTATGTCAAATATTTTTGGGATATGGTAACTTAATTTTTAACAAACTATATGTATCAGGTAAGGCCCACAAAACATGCAGATACCTTTATTATCTTTCCTGGGTTAATGATTGGGAATTCATTCAATTGGTTTGGACTAAAATCAATCTCAGTAATCCTCTCCAACCCAACCACTAATAACAAGATAAAGAACACCACATATTGATGTCAATAAAGTAAAGAAGATAGTCTCATCATCTATGGTCTCATTAAGAGGTTAGGCTCCGCCTGACTAGAGCAGTACTGCTGTATGACCACGTTTTTGCACGTCGTCACTAATAAATTGAGTAGAGGGTGTGGTCTAAGTGATAATTAATTACTTGGAATGTTAGGTGTGGCTTGTTGTTTAGAAGAAGAGGATGTCTGGAAAAAGTTAGTTTATCTCTCCCTACCATCTTCCCTTCTCCTCTGTCTTCATGCTATCTCTTTCTATTTATTCTTCTGTAGTCATTGTCTTCATTTCTATCATTATTCATTTACTACAGGTTTCAAAAAGAGAGCTGAACACAAAGGTCCTGTAATAGGGGAGTCCCTCTACCTGTGGGCAGGGAACCAGGTTGACTTACCTAAAGTTCATGACTCCCTTCAAAAGAAGGAACTGACCTCAAGAGTTGATGTGTACCAGCTTTCTACTGCTGACTGGTCCTCTCACCTAACAAGAGGTACTCCTCCATTAGGAGTAATGGCCTACTCCTGTACCACCTCTCATTCTAATATTTATTATTTCGGTGGATGGTGTGGTCATGATATTTGTTACCACAATACGTTGAATGTACTGAATACGATAAAGATGGAGTGGACTTCATGCAGTAATGCTGAACAGTCATTGATGAAGAAATCTAATGCTGGAATGATATCACTGGAATTTGATGGAGCAGAATACCTTGTCATAATAGGAGGGAAAGGTTCTACACCAACTGTTTACCATCCTCAGTTTCTATATGATCAACTTAATAATGGTCGTATTCGTACTAACGAACAGTTACTTTATAATGTGTCCACTGGTAAGATTCTCTTCATATTAATAAATAGCTTTTTACACTGTACATGTACCTTATTGATTTACAAACCATTGAACACAATTGTGTTTTTGGATAAAAATTACATGTACATATTTTGATACTTCAAATTCACAATTAATATTATCAATTATACCTTTTAGATTGTTAACATGCATTGATAGATGATCACTGTATTCTCTTCACTTTAGGACAATTCACTGTTCCATCTGTCAGTGGACAGTGTTGTCCACCAACTGATGCTTTCATAATTGAGAAGATTACTACTACCGGTAACAGAGGAGTAATGTTTGGAGGTGCAGTGACTGTTAATGGTGATGAGAGTACAAGTACTAACAGTGTTTACATATTCAGTGTGACACATAGTATAATAGTAAGTTGTATAATAGTGAGTGGGCGTATCAAAGGCACCGCCTGTGGTTACAAATGGCTTAGGTCCAGTGGCTGGCGGGAACGGACAGCGGGTACAAAGTCGGAACAATTGTGAGTCTCCGGAGTGCAGAAAACTTTAAATCGATTCACAGACCGATAATCCATGCAGGTAGAGTTTCACTGCTTTCCTTCCGTGTTGAAATCAATGGTTGACTAAGCCTCAATAATAGATATAGATGGCCGGGGAAGGTAAGATCGATACATGGCCGGTCAGCAAGCGCAGGATCTCTGTTCTGGACCTCTTCCAGACATTATAGCCTGAAAATAGTAAGATTATGTCAACCTAAAGCCTGAATCAGTTGGTAAAAGTACCTTTTTGTGAGCCTCCTGTCCTCCATTGCTACCATTTTACCACGAGGTGTGGTGCTACTGAGCATGCGCATTGGCGTGCGACTTTGATACGCCCACTCATTACTACACAAATATGTTGATAACACCCCTGCTGCGGGATACATTGCATTTGTATCCCTAGTGGGGGTGTTATAACGTTTACTTGTATTATATTTTGTTGTATTGTATTGTACAGTAATACATTATCTCAGTATTATCACTAGAGGATATATTGTGTTGTACTCATATTAACTGTATTTTGTGTATTATTATATTAAATATTCACAAAACTCTGATACTACATAAAATATTTTCATAATTAGACAGTGTATAGTCATGCTTAGTATGGTATTTCATATTATCAAGTATATTGTGTACCAATAGATTTGTTATACCTCCAGTACTTGTACATGTATAATACTAAACACAACCACTAACCTCACCTCATTAACATCAAAGTATTAAATATTAGGATTAATTTTTACATGTCACACCCATTATTTGTATAGCCACACCCATTATTCATATTTACGCTGACTGGTATTATTAGTATTTGTTTATGTATCTAGAACTGGGAGATACTGAAACCAGGAGCAATACCTAATGAGGGACTGTGGCCTATTGAGAGAGATGCTCATGCTAGTGCTATTATCAATGGTGATTCTATCTCACCTACACTAGTAGTGATTGGTGGACGGGATAAGAGAGATCAACTAGTTAATGAATGTTTGTTATTTGATAGTATCACTACTACTGGTCAGTACAGTTGTAGGAAGGTATGTGTGTGTATAGTACTGTAATGATGTGTGTGTGTGTATAGTTAGGTCAGTTGAGAGTATGACACTAGTACTGATGTATATTGATGATAGATTAGTAATTGTTAGTGTGTTCAGTAGATAACACTATCACTGATGAAACATTAACAATACACCCGCACATTTGATTAAAAAGTACACATTACACTTATGTGAGCCAACCTTAATGTGTGTGTGTGTGTGTGTGTGTGTGTGTGTGTGCATGTGTACTATTAACAAACATTAACAATGAAACATTAACAATACAATGAAACGACCCACACATTTGATTAAATATTACACATTACATTATTTTGTGAACCAACCTTAATGTGTGTGTGTGTGTGCCAATATTGAGATTTAATATTGTACATATTTTGTTATTTTTCACATGATGAGAAATAAAATGTTCATTTTGTTTGTTGATGGTAAGGATTAGAATTGATTTTACAATTACAATAAATAAACAATCATTATGAAATGATACAATTTCTCATTTTTATAAGTAACTGTATAAATATCATGTATCAGTATAATTACTTGTATACTTCTCTTTATCAACAGATTCCTCTACCTGAATCTGTTACTGGTAGATACGGTCACTCACTCACAGCAGTCACAATGTCACCACACTGTGTGTGGCTAGTAATTATTGGAGGATGTAAAGAGTTTCAATGGAAAGATGTTGGAGGAGGAAAGAAGGTGCCAATGAGTACACCAATCACTGATACTAATAGACTAATAATGATAATTGAATTAGGTAAGATAATATTAATCAATTGTAAGGATATGAGCATTAAATACTTAATTAGTAATAGTTAAAGCATGGGCTCGAGTGCTATACGGGATATAACGGCACAAGGGGTGGAGTCGAGATTGCAATACAGCATGAGGCGAAGCCGAGTGCTGTA